GGGCAGAGAAGAGCGGTTAAAAACAAACTGCTCCAAATGGCTCACTTTACTGGTGGTTGCCCTCTTCAAACGGTCGTACAGCGAAGAGCTTTATATTGTGAGAATCACAAGACCCAGACCTATATTTTGATGCATAGTATGTCTCTGAAATATGAAAAATGAAGGCACAGTCGCAGTTTAGATATTGCCCTTCAAATTTGAGGTGGCTAGAGTAGCGTTTCAATGAATGTCAATGGATGGCGTGAGTTGCAAACAAATGGTCATATTGTGAAAACTATCCGGACTATGGCTTTGCCGTGGACATGTTTAGTGGCAGCAGGGATAGCTGAACGTTTTTATATAAGATTTGTGTTGGTGGGCTTGAAAATGAGGGAGTGGTGGCAGTTTAGAAATCATGTCCTGATTTTTCAGCTTTTGCCAGCTCCCACTCTAGCTTTGCCATTCATTCCTATTGGACTAAATTCACCACAAACGACGATATACCGTGAACCATTCGGCAAAACGTTCCACAAAGTAATAGCAATCCAATCGGGAACAATCCGAACATTTCGGTATATTACTGTCTATGTAGTGTAAAATATGTGGGAGGAGTTAGGGTGGTAAATTTGGCTATAATAAGAATAAAGAATAATATATATGTGAGATAACATTAAGTGGTCTTGCTATGAAAGAACACTTAATATATATGTGAAATAACAGTAAGTGGTCTTGCTATGCAAGAACACTTAATAATAATATATATGTGAGATAACATTAAGTGGTCTTGCTATGCAAGAACACTTAACCCTTTAAGGACTGAGCCAAATGTACACGTTGTGAACAAAACATAAACAAAACCTGGCCTTTGCGCTACATGGCTGTCCAACCGTAATTCACCTCTTTCATATTAAATGCACCCACCCTTATTATATATCATTTTGTTCATGGGAAACAGGGCTTTCATTTAATATCAAATATTTAGCTCTGAAACATAATTTAATATGAAAAAATGGGAGAAAAAAATATTTTTTTAGTTCTACATGACTTTTTAACTGTCAATGTCATAATACTGTTTGATTTACTGCAATAAAATACACACATTTGTATTCAGCAAAGTCTCACGTGTAAAACAGTACCACTTATGTACAGGTTTTATGGTGTTTTGGGAAGTTACAGGGTCAAATATAGCACGTTACATTTGAAATTGAAATTTGCCAGATTGGTTACGTTGCCTTTGAGACTGTATAGTAGCCCAGGAATGAAATTTACACCCATAATGGCATACCATTTGCAATAGTAGATAACCCAAGGTATTGCAAATGGGGTATGTCCAGTCTTTTTTAGTAGCCATTTGGTCACAAACACTGGCCAAAGTTAGCGTTAGTATTTGTTTGTGTGTGAAAAATGCAAAAAACGCCAATTTTGGCCAGTGTTTGTGACTAAGTGGCTACTAAAAAAGACTGGACATACCCTGTTTGCAATACCTTGGGCTGTCTACTATTGCAAATGGTATGCCATCATAGGGGTAATTTTCATTCTTGGGCTACCATAGGGTCTCAAAGGCAACGTAACCAATCAGGTGAATTTTAATGTGAAAAAAATGAAACAAAAGCCTTATATTTGACGCTGTAACTTTTGAAAACACCATAAAACCTGTACATGAGGGGTACTGTTGTACTCGGGAGGCTTTGCTGAACACAAATATTTGTGCTTCAAAACAGTAAAAAGTATCACAGCAATAATATCGTCTGTGTAAGTGCTGTTTGTGTGTGAAAAATGCAAAAAACTTCACTTTTACTGGCGATATCATCATTGTAATACATTTTACTGTTTTGAAGTACTAATATTTGTGTTCAGCGAAGTCTCCAGAGTAAAACAGTACCCCCCATGTACAGGTTTTATGGTGTCTTGGAAAGTTATAGGGTTAAATATAGTGCTAGCAAATTAAATTCCCTATACTTTCGGCATGGGTTGCCAGGCAGGTCCCGCTAATTGTAATTAATTAAAATACCTAATTATGTAAAAATATTACATAAATATATATGTAGAATTAATATATATATATATATATATATATATATATATGTGTGTATGTATGTATGTGTATATATATATATAATTTAAAAATATATATTTTTATTTATATATAGGTATAGTGATATATACATATATATGTATATAGATATATATATTATATATTTTTAATTATTTTTTAACGTATTTACATTTTTTTATATTATAAATATATATAACAATAATTATATTTAATCAGTATCAGTCTACGTGTAATTTGATATTAATATATATTAATAGTAAAATACACCTAGACAGTTTATGTGTGTGTGTGTGTGTGTGTGTGTGTGTATGTATGTATGTATATATATATATATATATATATATATATATATATATATATATATATATATATAATGGAAAATTTATTCATACTTACCGTAATTTTCTTTTCCTGGTCATATGCCATGGCAGCACAACATTGGGTAGCTCCTCCCTATCCCCATTGGACAGGAATAATAATTAAGCTGTATAAGTACCACCTCCTACCCCTCCTTCCCCAGTCATGTTTTCCAGCAATAGCCCCGGGTGGGACCCTTGTGCTGCCATGGCATATGACCAGGAAAAGAAAATTATGGTAAGTATGAATAAATTTTCCATTTTCCTGGCCATATCCATGGCAGCACAACATTGGGTAATACCCAAGCAATAAACCAGGGAGGGAAAGAGACACAGACTCCAAAATTTTGAATGCAAAGTGTATTAACACCACAACAGGTGAAAAATAGAAATCATGCATCGGATACAGACAGAACTGATTTAGCGAATTGATCAGATATACCTGCTCTAACATCAATTTGGTAGCTCTTAATGAAAGTGTTAGAGGAAGACCATGTAGCTGCTTTACAAATGAGTTCAGGAGAAACATTAGCAGCGGCTGCCCAGGAAGATGAGAGAGCCCTCGTGGAATGGGCTTTAAGACCCACAGGGACCGTGCAAGAATATTAAATAGTTAACTTGTTTATATGTATTTTATGCTTTTATAAGGTTTATAACATGATTATTGCTGACTGAAGGGATATTGAATACTTAAAGTCAATATGCTGACTGTGACAGACTAAGGTATTTCTTCTATAGGATGTAAGACAATGCTAAAATTTCAGGATGTCTTGCCCATTCCGATTTCAGGATATTCTTTTCCAGACGTATGCAAAAGCTTATCTTTCCATTGTCAGAATAACGTAATATAAGGAAGTAATAAATCTTATAGTCTGTACTGTATTTGCATATACCATGGCTAATGTAAGCAAACTATGTATAAAAGCCAGCTCTGGAATACACTCATTTGAGAGTCTTGTAAAGCTGTTGTCCGTGTGTTATTGCTTACAAATGATTCTCCATCAACATTGATTATGGTGACCGAGGGATCGAGAACCGAGGGGATTAGAGTCCATTACAACATTAACCCTTTCAGCTTGGTGTCTAGAAGTGGGATAGATAGAAGTGGATCAGCAAAACCATTTGCGGTGAGTAGCCTTTTTGTGTCTTATTTGACGCTGATTGTCTATGACCCCCCTTTGGTTCAGTAAGTCTGTATCCAGTAGATAGGAAAGGTGTAAGGACTCTAGTTATATTGAGACTATAAGAGGTCTCCGGTTTATTAGACATTTGGTCTAAATATATACAGGTTTTTGGTAACCCAGGTTAGTATCTAAGATAGATACAGGTTTTTGAGACCATAAGAGGTCTCCGGTTTATTATAGGGTTTTGGTAACCCAGGTTAGTATCTAAGATAGATACAGGGTATCTCAGGTAGATACAGGTTTTTGAGACCATAAGAGGTCTCCGGTTTATTAAGTCTATAGGTGTTCTGAGCAGCATGGTTTGTAGATCTTTAAGTATAACCCAAACTTCTCTTTCTCCCGGTCACCTTTGTTTGTCTTAAGTGTTTTTTGTGGGTGATTGTTTGTCTATATTGGGGACACACTTTGGTAAGTTAGTAGTGTCCCCACTCTGAGTCAGCAGTATGGGAAATGTGAGTTCATGTCCTGAGTGACCAATATATGTACATGTATATGTGTGTGTATGTATATATGTGTATATGTATGTATATATGTGTGTGTATATGTATATGTGTATATATAAGATAGCAGTACTTTTAAACAAATGGAGGTTTTAAAAATACATAGGGATTAAGGAGAGAACGCAGGTAACTTGTTTTTCTTTGGTTTTTACCATATATTGGGGCTGATGTGTACTGTAGTCCTTGCTGCTGTCCAGTAGTGATGGGAGTGAGCGCAGGACTTATCTTTCTGCAAGATAGCAGTACTGTATATTAGAAAAGAAATGACTCACAGGTTGTACCTGATAGACCTACTTAAATCTTTTTGCTTTATTCTTTCTGTCGCATAGAAGTATAAGTTTATTACTCTGTTTTATTGTAAGTTATTTCACATGGGAACTGTGTGCCTGGAATGATTGTTGCTTTAAAAATACTATAAGCCCACTACACTTATTATGAGAGTGGGATAGTGTAAATGTGTTACATTGTTTGCATGATGAGCTCAGTATATTTTATAACTGAGACAAAAAGTCACTTCATTAGTATTTGAAAGTTAATTCCCCATATGGGATTAATTGTATAGAAACACCAATCAGCACATCTTCCCTGCCCTGTGTGTTTGTTGCAAAGGATCCATACTAAATATGATTTTTGTTTGAAAATAACAGAGCAACATTTACATTTTCAGCGGTCCAACACATGCTTTATTTTGCACTGTAAACTAACCTTTTTATTGCAACAGGTTCCTTTTAAATGATCCAGTGTAATAACTACTGCTTGTGTCTTCTATGTCTCACATTATGTGTTCTTTTAAATTGTGGTATATAGCCTGAATCAGACATCATGGACAAAGGTTTTTTACCTGTGTTACTAAGGGCTCTTGGAGACTGACCGGTCTAAAGGTTTGCCATGCCTTTAAAACATGGTATAGTATAAATTTTTAAGTCTCTGAGAGTTCTGAAAGATTCAGGTGAAACCATGTCTGTTTAATCTGGTCCAGATGTTTGTTCAATTTCTGTAAGATTTAAGTTGATGCAGCATCATCTCAGATTAGTTAATGGTAGTTTTATACAAATAGTTGAGTTATGAGCGCGCTATATAAATGGATCCTTTCTTTAAATACAATACTATAGTAGATTAAAGTAATGAAGTTAATTAAGAAAATGTACACATAAGAATCCCTAAAATAAATCTAAACTAAAATTGGTATACTTTCCAATAATATGTTCTGAATACAGCTGTTAACTGTTTATTCTGTGTAAATGGTGATTGTGATAATGTGTGATAAGTGTGCAGTTTAACTTGAAAGTGGTTTAATTTATATGTTGCTGTATTGTTTTAAATTATATGTGAATCAGTTTGTCACAGTCTAGTGATACTGATAAGAATGACAGCCAAATAACCTAGCAAATAACTGTTTTATTAGTTGTTGAATACTAGCGTTTTGGCCAAGAATAGTTGGAGATTTGGAGGTGTTAGTTTAAGATTGCTTTTATATTGTGTCTATCTGTGTTTCCTAGGAGGGAGACAGAGTGTGTAGTTGTGTGCCCATAAATGTGATTTCTGTATTGGCATATCTGCTGGGTACCCATTATGTGTTTTTACAAAGATATTGTTTTATGAGATGACTAATATTACATGGGATGCTGAGTATGAGTTATATGGTTTGAAATGAATTGGTGATTATGAGCTTAGTACTTCAGTAAGATGTGCTAAAATTTGGAACAAGGTGGAAGCTGAAATGTTGGGATTATGGAAGAATAAGCAGTCTATATTCACTGCTTTGGCATATAAGCAAGATGCAAAGGAAGAGATTGGTAATATGATTTTTGTAAAGAAATTTTACAAGTGTTGGAAGGATGAGGCAGGTTTGATGTCTGGAGATGATATAGATCTCTTTAAAATACAGTCATGCCTTGGTAATATGTTGCCACAGTATTATTTGCTTGTGAAACAATTGATTTCAGACTGGGCCAATTTGGATAGCTCAGAGTTTCTTACCAAGGTTATAGAAAAGGAAAATGCAGGTTGTTTTGATTTAAGAAAAGATTTAGGAAAGTACGGTTGCTTATTATGCTCAGGGATTGCAACATATTATGTCCAGCTACACAGGCTGAGAGCAAGGATGGGATGGAGCACATAAAGCCCGTGGAAGGGGTGGTCAAAGAGGGGCAAGGGGATGGAGACAAGGAAATCAGGGTTATAGGGGCAGGGGTAACCAAGGAGGAATAGACAGGAACACTTGTTTCAACTGTGGCCACTGGAGGAATGAGTGTCCACACCCCAGGAAACCCCACACACCCCACCAACCCCACAATTCTCAAAATATGCCCTGTAGGCAAGAACAACACCAGAACCACTCCCAACACCACTGGCCAGCATATCGCTTAGTTCAGGACTTTAGAGCCCTGAATAGTTTAATTGTGCCCATTTCACCCATTGTCCCTGATGTGACATCCCTCATTACAGCCATTCCACATGATGCCACTTGCTTCACTGTCATTGATTTAAGTAATGCATTTTTTCTATACCTATTGATCAAGAGACACAGCTACTTATGGTTTTTACTTTTTGAAGGCTGTCAGTTTACCTGGACACGCTTACCCAAGGCTATGTGGATTCCCCAGCTGTTTATTCGTTGGTACTCCAACATACTCTAAAAAACATGGACCACCGGTCATGGTTCCGTCCTTTTTGCAAAATGTTGATGATTTGTTGTTATGTAGCCCTAGCTATGAGGCAAGCACTGTGGATACTGTCAGCAACTGTAGGTCACAAGGTTGTTAAACACAAAATGCAATTGTGTAAATCAAAGGTTGAATACTTAGGTTTTGTTCTGGCTTTAGGCACCAGACAATTGAGTCCAAAACGTATTGAGGTCATTCAGAGGATTCCAACACCCACTACTCGGAAGGAGTTGCTCACCTTCCTCGGCATGATTAATTACTGCCACCAATGGATCCCTGAATGCTCCCATTATGACTCAATCCTAAGGGAGGCTGTACGTTCTGACAGCCCTGAAAATGTCTGCTGGTCACCAGACATGCTATCTGCATATATTGCCCTTACAGTTGTTATTGTGCAAGCCCAGGCTTTAGGACTACCTGTGTATTGTAAACCATTTCATTTGTATGCTCGGGACAACTGTAAAACCATGGCCGCGGTCTGTGCACAAGAGCAAGGAGGCGGTATGCGTCCCATAGCATTCTTTTCCAAAGTAGTTCAAGCTCCGGTACAGGGTATGCCGGCGTGTCTCAGAGCATTGATAGCATGTGCAATGGCTGTTGAAACTGCTACTACTATCACACTAGGGCATCCTACAATACTTTATGCCAGTCACCAGGTCACTCAGCTGACAAATATCACCGTACAACACATGACAGCCCAGCGCTTCAGTGGTTATGAGATTCTTTTTTTAAATACCCAGAATCTGTCTTTTGGATTAAACAAGGTTTAGAGAAAGATCAAAATGATCTGTTCTCTAAAGAGGGGAGAATAGGCATACTTGAAGAATAGGCATACTTGAAGCAAGCTGATTTATTTTCATCAGTCAGGCACATAGCAAGCACCATTCAATTCTTCATGAATTCATTTTATATTAGGAATCTCAGGCAGCATGTACAGTCTTTTGTAAGATCGTGTGAACACTGCTCTTTTTACACACTTACAGATTGATTTTATTCATGTATCCAAAATTGGTAAGAAACAGCAATACTTACTGGTCATAGTTAATCAGTTTAGTAGATGGCATGAGGCCTTTGTGACATCTAGGGAAGATGCTAGTGAAGATTATTGTTACTGAAATTATTCCCAGGTATGGCTGCCCTCTGCAGATTGGCTCTGATAATGGCCCGGTTTTTGCCAGTGGGGTTGCCCAGGAACTTGCTAAATTCTTGCAAGTTACCTGGCAGTTTCATATACCCTATCATCCACAGAATACAGGGGTAGTTGAAAGGATGAATAGGACTATTAAGGAAAAGCCCAGAATTTACCCAGGAACATGGGTAAATTGGACTAGATATCTACCAGCTATTTTAGCTGAGATAAGAATGAATCCCCACAAGGTGACTAAATTATCTCCATCTGAGATTTTTGATGGGATGACCTTTTCCCACACCCTGGGCCAGGGAACCGCTTGTTATAATGTCTGGGGATTTACAGCTAATACAAGAACAATATGTACAGGAATTGTTGATAAAACCGAATGGTATGTATGACAATGTTTCTTCGCAGTTTTCCCTTACCTTCACAGGAACCTACTCATTCATACCAGCCCGGTGACAAGGTGTATATCCGTCAGCTGAACAGGACCAAGAAAGGAGGATACCCTTTTGGACCACCTGCTACTGTGATTGCTGTACCCAGAACCGCTGTCCTCACAGATTCCCATGACATCTGGATTCACGCATCCCGAGTGAAGCTGTGTCCAAAGAGGGGAACCAAGGAAGACAACACCACTCCTCGCTCGGAAACAGAAGAATTTCTCCTCAGCGAAGCATCATGGCTTTTCACACCATATCGTAGATTGAGAGGATCATACGTACCTGAGACCAAGATTATGTTGTGTGCTATGCTTTCTGGAGTTGTTATACTCCCTCTGATATTGTTCATTGAATGCCATTATGAGTACAAGTCAATGGCAAGTTTGAAACCTGTTTGTTTCTGAAAAAAGACTCTGACATGATGAACAATTCTTCAATACCCCCAGCCCAATTAGGCCTTAGCTCCTCATCTAGCATTCGTCACACACACCCCCTCAAGAACCTTTCTCCACCACCTTTCTATCAGCATGCAATATGCAATCATTCATTTACTGAACGCATTTGGATGAATTGGACAAATAGTAACCCTTATAAGTACCAGTTACCCATATGGAATGTGTCCACAGCTAATGAAACCGATGCATTATGTTTGTTTAAAGGTTCACAGAAAATTGTTAGATCTTATAACGCAGAAATGTGCACAGTTAAGGTTGCATATCAATGTAAATAGACAGGCCTTATTACTTTTAATAATGATTATATAACTGGTATCATTAATTGGAAAAGGGGACAAATGTTAGTCATTATGA